TATTCTGCATCTCCTCTTTTCGAGCCCTCACAGTCTCTTAGACGGAAACGGTGTTACCTCCATTTTGCAGATGAAGAAACAGGCTTCAAGAGGAGAAGCCATTTGGCTTGATGTCTGTTAAGAACAGAAGCCCTCAGTAGAAATGAACAGAACTTTCCCGAAGCTTCTGTTCAAAACCACATTCTCTCTAGCCTTTTTCTTTCCCCCACCCACCCAGGCCCACCCAATTCCGTGAAACTCTGGAATCCCAAGAGGATCCCCACAGAGCCTCCTCTCGAAACCCCAGAGTAACCAAAGTTTCCGACAGAGAATGCGGCGGTCTTGGTGCGACACCGCCATCTGCTGGCTGTGTCCGAGAACTGCAGCTCTGGCTTGACCACTTCGAAGTGCCTGCAGTGGACTCCGGGACCCTGCCTTCCACGAGTGTACAATAAGAGCAGAGACAGACAACAAATAAGGAATCAAACGAGTAAGCGAGGTAATTGCAGATGGGCACAAGTTTTCAGCAAGAAATAAACAGCTTTCTGTGACAGAGCAGCGGCTCTCAAGGTGTGGTCCTGAGATCTGGGGACCCAAAGAGAAATTAATCCTTCCATTTCATCTTCCCTCCCAAGTGCATGGTGGGGTTTTGCAGGGGCTACCTGGACATGTGATGTTGCAGCAGACTGAATGCAGAAGCAGATAGCAGAATCCAAGGCTCGCTTTTCAGTTCAGCTCAGTCAGTCGTGTCCTACTCCGCGACCCCATGAACCGCAGCACACCAGGCCTCCCTCTCCATCACCGACTCCCGGAGTTTACCCAAATTCATGTCCATTGAGTCAGTGATGCCATCCAACCATCTCATCCTCTGTAGATCCCTTATCCTCACGCCTTCAATCTTTCCCAGCAGCAGGGTCTTTTCAAATGAGTCAGCTCTTCACAATAGGTGGCCAAAATATTGGAGTTTCAGCTTCAGCATCAGTCCTTTCAATGAACACCCAGGACTGATTTCCTTTAGGATGGACTGGTTGGATCTCCTTGCTGTCCAAAGGACTCTCAAGAGTCTTCTCCAACACCACAGTTCAAAAGCATCAATTCTTCTGTGCTCAGCTTTCCTTATAGTCCAACTCTCACATCCATACACAATCACTGGAAAAACCACAGCCTTGACTAGATGCACCTTTGTTGGCAAAGTAATGTCTCTGCTTTTTAATATGCTGTCTAGGTTGGTCATAACGTTCCTTTCAAGGAGTAAGCGTCTTTTAATTTCATGGCTGCAGTTACCATCTGCAGTGATTTTGGAGCCCAAAAAAGTAAAGTCTGCCACTATTTCCACTGTTTCCCCATCTGTTTGTCATGAAGTGATGTGACCGGATGCCATGATCTTAGTTTTCTGAATGTGGAGCTTTAAGCCAACTTTTTCACTCTCCTCTTTCACTTTCATCAAGAGGCTCTTTAGTTCTTCTTCATTTTCTACCATAAGGGTGGTGTCATCTGCATATCTGAGGTTATTGATATTTCTCCCAGCAATCTTGATTCCAGCTTGTGCTTCCTCCAGCCCAGCATTGCTCATGATGTACTCTGCATATAAGTTAAATAAGCAGGATGACAATATACAACCTTGACGTACTCCTTTTCCTATTTGGAACCAGTCTGTTGTTCCATGTCCAGTTCTAACTGTTGCTTCCTGACCTGCATACAGATTTCTCAAGAGACAGGTCAGATGGTCTGGTATTCCCATCTCTTTCAGAATTTTCCACAGTTTGTTGCAATCCACAGTCTTTTATTTAGCCAGACATTAAAGAGATTTACCAAAAAATAATAATGCTATCTTTTTTTGAAAGTTATTTTTCATGAAGAATGTTATTTACATAAGCATGCAATGTTTATTTTGTCATTTTTTTCAATGAATTAATAAGCCCTTTTAAAGTCTCAGTTTTCATTTCTGTTATGGTAATGAATTGGATAAACAAGGCTCTAGAACATCTCAGTTCTAACTTCTAACATGGTCGACTCCACGCCAACCTCCATCTCCTCCTTTTCTCCGCGTGAGGCGGCCCTTGTCCTTGGAGGTCTGAGCACCGCCGCCGCCCCTGGGCTGTCAGCCGGCGCCCGTCTGCCCTGGGCTGTCAGCCGACGCCCGTCCGCCCGTCCACCCTGGGCACACCGCGTGGCGCTCCACACGGAGTGGGGTAAGAAGCTGTTTTATTTCTATTGGGGTGTAATGGATTTAGTGCTGTACTAGCTTCTGCTGTACAACAAAGTGACTCTGTTACACAGGCACCCACTCTTGTTAGATTATTCTCCTGTGGAGCCCATTGCAGAGTACTGAGTGGATTCCCTGTGCCCTACAGCAGGTCCTTGTTGGTTATCCTTCTACATACAGTGCTGTGTATATTCCAACCTCAACCTCCCAATTTACTCCTCCTCCCCTTCCCCCTTGATAATCAGAAGCTTTTTTTCTATATCTGTGGTGCTGTATTTCTGTTTCGTAAAGTTCATTGGTACCATTTTTTAATATTCTACATATAAGCCATAGCGTATGATATTTGTCTTTGTCTGACTGACTTCACTTAGTGTGACAATCTCTAGGCCCATTCATGTTGTGCAGGTGGCATTAGTTCGTTCTTTTTATGGCTAATATTCCATTTTTTAAAAGACGCTTACTCCTTGGAAGGAATGTTGTGACCAACCTAGACAGCATATTAAAAAAGCAGAGACATTACTTTGCCAACAAAGGTCCATCTAGTCAAGGCTATGGTTTTTCCAGTGGTCATGTATGGATGTGAGAGTTGGACTATAAGGAAAGCTGAGCACAGAAGAATTGATGCTTTTGAACTGTGGTGTTGGAGAAGACTCTTGAGAGTCCTTTGGACTGTGAGGAGATCCAACCAGTCCATCCTAAAGGAAATCAGTCCTGGGTGTTCATTGAAAGGACTGATGCTGAAGCTGAAACTCCAATATTTTGGCCACCTATTGTGAAGAGCTGACTCATTTGAAAAGACCCTGATGTTGGGAAAGATTGAGGGCAGGAGGATAAGGGGTCTACAGAGGATGAGATGGTTGGATTGCATCACCAACTCAATGGACATGAATTTGGGTAAACTCTTGGAGTTGGTGATGGACAGGGAGGCCTGGTGTGCTGTGGTTCATGGGGTCGCAAAGAGTCGGACACGACTGAGCGACTGAACTGAACTGAATATTCCATTTTACATAAGTGCCACATCTTCTTTCTTCTTCTGTTGATGGACATTTAAGTTGCTTCCATGTCCTAGCTATTGTAAATAGTGCCACTGTGAACATTGGGATGCGTGTATCTTTTTGAGTTATGGTTTTCTCCAGATATATGCCCAGGAGTGGGATTGCTGGATGATATGTTAATTCTGTTTTTAGTTTTTTAAGGAATCTCTATACTGTTCTCCATAGTGGTTGCATCAGTTTACATTCCCACCAACAGTGAAAGGTTTTTCTTTTCTCCACGTTCTCTCCAGCATTTATTATTTGTAGATTTTTTGACGATGGCCATTATGACCTGTCCCTGGAGAAGGAAATGGCAGCCCACTCCAGTATTCTTGCCTGGAGAACCCCATGGACAGAGGAGTCTGGCGGGCTACAGTCCATGGTGTCGCAAGAGTCGGACACGACTTAGCAACTAAACCACCACCACCATTCTGACCTCTGTGAGGTGATAACTCACTGTAGTTTTGATTTGCATTTGTGTAACAATTGGTGATACTGAGCATATTTTCACGTGCGTTCTGGTCATCAGAAGATGTTGAATGAATGAAATGGGGAGCAAGTTGTGACCGAGCAGTGCCCAAGTGGACTGGAGGGTAACCTTTACCATATAGTAGGAGTATAAAAGGGCCCTAGGACCAAAATATTTGAGAACAGAAAAGACAGAATCACTGTGGATGTGATGGTCAGGGGAGGTGTCTCTGAGGAGGTGACATTCAGCTGAGACCTGAGGGCCCCAAAGAAGGGCTCTCAGCCATGCACAAAGGAACAGCCAGTGCAGAAATCTACAGGGCAGAATAAGAGCCGCCTTAGAGAAGCAGAAAGCTGGGTAGCCTGGCGTCCCCGGGAGGAGGGCTGTGCCTGGTGTCCAGGGTGGGCTCAGTCAATGACTTCCAGGAGGACAGAGGGAGAGCAGGGGAGAGACCCAAGTTGAGAAGAGACATGGGTTTCCTCTGACATGCTGTCCTAGACAAAAAGTAGTGCTGTCTTACAAATATAGCAGTAGGGACTGCCCTGGTGGTCCAATGGCTGAGACTGCACTCCCAATGCAGCAGGCCTGGGTTCAGTCCCTGGTCAGGGAACTAGATCCTGCATACCGCAACTAAAGAGCGCATATGCCGCAGCTAAGACCTGCTGCAGCCAAATAAAGCCATTTCCTTCTCCAAAACAAACAGATAATAAATACTGAAGCATCAAGCTTCCCTGGTGGTTCAGTGGTACAGAACCTGCCAGTGCAGGAGATGCAGGCTCAATCCCCGGGTCGGGAAGATCCACTCGAGAAGGAAACGGTAGCTCACTCCAGTATTCTTGTCTGGAGAATCCCACAAGCAGAGGAGTCTGGCGGGCTACAGTCCATGGGGTCACAAAAGAGTTGGACATGACTTAGTGACTAAACAACAGCAAATAGTGATGATGCTTGCAACATCAAGTAACAGTGTGAATGTACTTGATACCACTGTACTGTACACCTAAAAATGGTTAGGATGGGAAACTTTGTTAATGTGTATTTTCCCACAATTACAAATGAAATCTATATTGTGTTGACTTTTAAGGTCATGGTCTTGAGAGAAGGCTGGCAGAGTCCACTCTGGTGCCTGGAAAATGCCACTGGCTCTCCATCCCCACAAATTACGCACCCCTCTGCCTCTTAAGCCACAGTGATCCTCTGCGTGTGAATTAGTTTTTAATATCAAAATGGTCTTTTCAAGAAAAGAAGCTGCATTTATAGGTGAAAGGAAAAGGCCAAGTTCACACTTCATTGCTGGATACACGTAAAAGTATGTTTAATCAACAGCAGAATTTCTGTCCCCACAGTTAGCATTCCCGGGAGGCAGTAACATGAAAAGTGTCCTCTCTGGTCTGTTCAAGCAAAACAGTGGGTTCCCTGGGTAGATGCTCAAGAGGGCCTTTGGGGTCTTTTGTGGGGATGGGACCAGTCCCCCCCCAGGGAATCCCCCCAGCTCAATATGTGCAATATCAATATCTACATAAGCCCCCCAGCAGGGACCACCGTGACCTCTCCCTCCACACTGGCTGTTAAAGGATTGAGTCGCCTCTTCCAGCTGGGACGCCAGTTCCCAGGCTCCTGAGATACACCTCCTAGCGAGCTTGATGCTCAGAGGAGTCCAGGCCAGAGTGAGCATCGGCAGGCTGGGCTCAAGGGTGAAGAATAGAGTTGCCTTCCTGGGCTTGGCTTCCTCTAGTAGAAAGTCAAGGACACACACACACACACACACAGAATCCAAGAATCCCACCACCATCCTCAGTCTCAAAGGTGGCCTACCCCTAATCCTTCTGTCTCCAAAAAGTTCATTACCCACCAAGATGCATTTTTCCCTCCCTGGGACCAGCCTCTTAGAGGCTTCCTCCAAGCCTGCGTGCCCCCTTGCAGCCACACGGGACTAATGGGGTCCCTCTCCAGCGAGATTCTCCTGTGGACTTCCAGCCCCAGGACCACGTCCCCTCAGGTCTTCCCCCAGACCAGCATGACCATTCCAGGGGCTTGGGACGACATGCTCTTAAGGCTGTTCCTCCAACCTATTGTCTCCTCAGCCAGGCCCCTGCCTGGCAGGAATATGGCCCTCTTTATTTATCTTATGATGGATCTGAGGATCCGCCACCTTTCCAGAAGTTCTAACCAGTTTTCTAAAATTTGGCCAGAACATGTTATCAGCTCCTCAGAATTCCACCTAGGCTGAAACAGTCACGTCATCAGCCTAGAACTCAAATCTAACATCTCCCCTCCTCAGATCACTATCCACAACCACCCCCCACCCCCCCCCCCACCATTGCCCTTAGGATAAACTTCCTGGCAACACCATCTGGTATGTGTCCATTTCCCCTCAGTCTCCTGCTTCGTCCCCTACGACCCTTCCAGAACTTCTTCAGTCATCTCTGACCCCCAGAACTCTGTCCACCATTCTCGCCACCACACTCTGCCCAGCCAGGGCTCCACTTAGATGCCTTCCTCTTCAGAAAATCTACTGGTGGCCCACAGCCCAGTCTACCCCACACCACTCGATACGCTAGCATTAAAGCTCCTGAAGGCTTGTATGATACTTAATCACCACTCATCCCTGATGCCTAGAACTGCCCCTGGCACGCAGCAGGTGTTTCTCATCCTTTGCCTCCTGGGCACTTCCACAGGCCCATCACCCCTATCATGGTGCCCACCTCACTGCATTACCTGTTTTATTTCTCTGTCTCCTCCACCAAGTTAGTCAAGAACTATGGAAAAGCCTGTGGGTGGTCCAAGACCCAGAGCAGTGCTGGGCACATAGTAGGTCCTCAGCATCGTCAGGTCTTTGCAGTTTAATATAGAGGCCCCTGAAACTCCAGTACTTTGGCCACCTCATGCGAAGAGTTGACTCATTGGAAAAGACCCTGATGCTGGGAGGGATTGGGGGCAGGAGGAGAAGGGGACGACAGAGGATGAAATGGCTGGATGGCATCACCGACTCAATGGGCACGGGTTTGGGTAGACTCCGGGAGTTAGTGATGGACAGGGAGGCCTGGTGTGCTGCGATTCATGGGGTCGCAAAGAGTCGGACACGACTGAGCGACTGGACTGAACTGAACTGAAAGAGGCCCCAGAATGGGAAATGTTTCCAGTGAAATGAAGCGAGGCGGCCACTAGAGGGCAGCAGGCACGGGCTTCCTCCGTGCAGCTCCCCCCTCATCCCAGGTTCTGATGTGTCCTCCGCTCTCCTTCCCTTTGCAGCTCAGGCCCCTGGATCACCCTGCAGACCTCACCCGCGGCTCCACGAGTTTAGCTCAGAGTCTCTGACTGTCAGAGAGGCCCTCAACCCCACAACAGTATTCAGTGACTCAAGCAAGCTGCCCGCAAGGCCTCCAGGCAGGACTGACCCTGCCCCTGAGCTGATCCAATCCTCCAGGCCCTGCTATAAGCTGTCCTGTCCCACAGACCCTGACTACCAGACCAAATCAGCAAAACAGCCCCTCTTCTCATCCCCCCTCCCCGGCCTCCTGGTTTCCCCTCTTACACCCACCAAGGAACCCCCGGATTCTAGCTTCTCCTCTCTGTTCCCAGAGGAGCCTCCCCAGCCCTGAAGAGATCCCGACTCCCAGCCACATTCTGGTCCTCCCAGGGCAGCTAAATTGCACAGAAGTTAGAAAGCTGAGCTAATTTACACCAGGGTGTCAATGGGTAATGGATTTATAACCCATCTGACTATTCCAGTCTAAAGTTTTATGTCTTAAGGCTTCCAAACTCTTAAGTCCCCAGATCCACGACTCTAGGCTCTCCCCTGGTGACTGATGATTCCAATTACAATGGCATCTCCTCTCTACACACTAGACAGGCCTTTGGCGGGGTGGGGGGCTACAAAAGCTGCATGCACTAATACAACTATCAAGCTATTGTTTAAAAGAACCAGAACCCGAATGCAAATTATAAGGGGTTAATAGGATATGTCTAGCAGCCAAAATCTTGGAAGGCTGACTATGCTTCTGACCACCCCCCACCACCACCACCCCAGCCACCCCACAGCAGACATCACTCCTCCATTCGGCCTGAGCCACAGCCCAGCCCCGGCATCTCCTTTTGAGCACCGAGGTCTTTCCTGACTTCAGCTGTCTCTTCCCCAGAGCCATCACCACAGCCCACCTATTGTTAGTCAAGTCCCAGCCATGCCGACATCCAAGCTGTTAATAGTAATAGTGACGAGGAGTGTTAGACCTGTTGTTAGTCAGAAAGAAATCCACAAGCCGTTAGTTTCTGCTGAAAGGAACAGATCAGGAGGGCAGGAGTTAGTCAGGTGAAGGAGAGGTTAATTAAGAGCAGGTCAGAGCCAGGCCAGGAGCCTGGAGCCGCCCCCCCCCAAAGGGCAGGGCTGGCTGTTAATGGTCAGCCCCTGGGGCAGCCAGGGCAAGGCAGGGATTAGCTGGGTGAGAGCAAGAGTTAGTGCAGAGGAGCCAGAGATTAGCCCAAAGAAACCAAGGTGCCTACTGGAGGTGAGGCATAAAATCACCCCCAGGTGTGGCCCTGGCTTAGCGGCTGGCGGGCTCTGGGGTAGACAGGCTGGGGTAAGGACGTGGGGGTGAAAAGAACAAGGAGCCAGGGGTGAATTTCTGACTGGTCCAAGGCCTGCAGGGCCCTGTGGACGCCTGGGGTTCATTGGTTGTTTCCCACTTTCCCCCGCAAACCCCCTACCCAAGATCTGCTTTCTTCTCAAACTTCAGATCTGCTGTTTTCTCAAACTTCTCAATGTGGACTGCCCTTCTCAAAGGCAACTGTAGGGGAAATGGACCGCACCTACTTCTGGCGTGGTAAACCGGCATTTCGCAGCTCAAGGGATGGGGGAAGGGCCCCTCTAGCCAACTTCCTGTCGTATGAACGGCCCCTCTCACTCATCTCTTTAGTCAGTCCTCCTCACTGCCTTGTGATAAGGCAGAAATCCCCCTCTCACTGACTAACGGTGTAACAAATACCCCTCTTCCCATTCTTCAAATATAGGAAATACCCCCTTTGTCTGACTTCCGGTACCAAATGCTGCCCTCAGTGATTTCCACCGCGGTCAAGACCCTTTTACTGACTTCCAATGCGGAGGAAGTCTTCACTTACTGACTTCCGGCGTGGGACACGCCCCTTTACTAACTCCCTTGAGGGACACGCCTCCTTTGTTGACTTCCTGCGCAGGACACGCCCCTCAGTGGCGCCGCGCCTCTATCAGCCACTTGCCCAGTGAGAAACATCTACCCCCACTTCCCTCCGAAGAAGGACCCAGAGGCCCCTTCTCTCCGCTCCCTTGGCTGGAAGGAGACCCTCAGGTCTCCACCCTCACCCCGCAGAGGTTGCCCTGCCCCGGCCAACTCCCAGTGGCCCCCAGACTCTGCGCAGAGAGATGCTCTGCTCACAGGCCGGCCTCCCTCCAGAACCGCAGGGGCATCTCTTCCTCCGGGCCTTCACCCCCCTCAGACCTGACCCAGGGGACTCTGAACTCACAGCCAATGGGGGCAGCAAAGTGGGGCATCTGTCTGCAGGACCAGCCTAGGACGTCTGCTTGCCAAAAGGAAGGGGTAACTAGCCCCCAAGGGGGCCCAGAGCTCGGCAGGGCTGGGGTTAGCAAGAAGAGGAAACAGGGTTAGTAGGGACTGGGTTAGTAAGTCAGAGCGCAGCGCCAGCGGACAGGGGCACCTCAGCAGACACACATGGGAGTCGCTAGGAGAAAGGAGGAACACACTCGGGTCCGTTAGTTTGTTAGGGGGGGTGGTCGGGGTGCAGTTGAGGCCCCCTCGCCCCGGGGTTAGACGGGTTAGTAATTGAACAAAAGAACTGCCTATGGGGAAAAGCTGAGGAGAGGAAAAGTGTGGGGAAAGACACAGTTAAGGGTTCAAAGCAAGTGTCTGGCCCCAGGCAGAGGGGTCTGTGTGCAAACCACCTAGAGGGACCAGGGCCTGCCAGGGGACCCGATGGGTCCGGTTTTCTGGGCCTCCCACCCCCACCTCGCATAAATGTGGATTAAGTATCTGCCATTTGTCAAGAACTCTATCCTCCTGGGAGGTGGCCTCCCATTCCACTGCCGAGGAAACGTACTCAGAGAGGTGGGGTGACTCGCTCTCCAAGTCCCGCCGCCCCCCCCCCCCCCCCCCCGCCCCAGCAGGAAGCGGCAGAGTTGGCAAGTCCTGTTTGCGCGCCCGGTCCTGGAATGTGGGTCTGCACAGAGATCCCAGGCCACGGGCAGGGCCTTCCGGAGCCTCGTCTGCCCCCACATCCCCACCCCTGGGAAGGCCCATGAGCTGCGAGGTTAGTAGGGTCTGGCTGCGGGGGGGTTAGTAGGGCATGCTCGGGCCTGGTTAGTGGGTTAGTCGGTTGGCAGAAGGCCAGGCACCTCGCCACACGCCACAGCGTCCCGGCCGAGCCCTGGGTTAGTAGGTTAATCCCACCATGCAACACTGCCCCAGCCGCATCTCCAGAGGCCGCCCACCCCCACCAGCCAGGGAACCGGGCCTGACCAGGGCAGGGGGTCTGCCGCCAGCGCCTCAGCCCCGCCCCCAGGATCAACTGTCCACGTGGACCCTGCCCAAAAGAATCTGCTTCTCAGCGATGGGCCTCAGGGCCCCTCCCCCAGCCACTTCAGATCCCCCAAAAATGGACGCTGCTGGTCCTGGCTGGAAAGACCCC